AGGCATCGCTGTGAGTCCACTGCAGCAGCCACTCCCTCCCAGGTGAACTGCTGTCATCCTGAAACCTCCACGGAGAGGAAACGGAAGAGAAGACTTTATCACTGTCCCCAAACATCTGGCCTTTCCAAACGTGGCGTGGGCAATGGCGTGGGCACTGCGGTGGGTCCCCAGGGCGCCCTGAGAGGAGGGAAGACCCTCCTTCCAACGCAGCGGCGTGAGCGGTCTCTGCTTCCACTCCCTCCTTCCGACATTGCTTCTATATTATTTACATTTTTACATTTATGGGGTGCTGGCGCAGGGCTGCTTCTCCTGTCCTTCAAGAAGGGAAAATAGATTCATTCGCGGAATCACCGGTGGCACCGTGCATTCCACCCACTGGCTCCTGGCCGCCCCGCCCCGCCTGCCTGTTCCGGGACCTGCCCGCTTCTCGCTGGCGTGCCACCAGTCAGGTCAGCATCCTAGCTTCCAAGCTGTAGGTCGCCCAGGGCAGAACTGTGTGTGTGACGTCTATTAAACAAGCACCATCTTCTCTAGCAAATCCACGTGAATAATTTTTTTTTCAAAAGCCATTATCTGCTACTGAAAGCAAATTGAGCATAACGTTTACATCTAAGGCTAAAGAATAGATACTTGGTCAAATGCCCTGGGGTCTGCATGTCAAACACACCACGAACGTGTGTGTACACAGCACTTTTCTTTGAGATGTTTCCCATGCTTACTAATCACAGTCCTGTGAAGACCTCCAGCTTTCCTCGGAAGCGAGGCGCATGTCCTGTGGGGATGAGTGCCCGGTTTCTGGGGATCCTGGCACGTCTGTCAATATCGCAAAGGAGGTGGGAGGCCTGGAGGACCCCAGCTGCACGTCTGTCTGGAGGTCAGAAGCGCTGCGAACCTTTACATCTGTAATCACGGCGATTAAAAAAAGTTCCCTCTGCTTTCCTAAGAAGGGCTTGTTTTTGGTTTGGTCGTTTATTTGTTTTAAAGAGGAAATGAAAACCTGAAAAGACTACTTTTAGATTGTATTTTATATTGAATATTGACACCATGGGAACTGGCAAATGCCACCAGGTTTCCCCCACTCCCTCCCCTCAGCCCCGATCAGTTTTCAACATTTTCCAGCACCGTGACCTAAAATCCTTCCTTTTCCAACTATCATTTCAGGCACAGATCCTGTTCCTGGTTTTTGAGCCTCGCGTTTTTCTTCCATTAGTCTACGTTCTTTTTATATTTCAGAGGTTCCTCATCGTTTCTGATCCACAAACCATCACTATTCTCCAGTGTGATAATGGATTTTTTGGCTCATTTATCTTTACCCCTTTTCTATAACTTCTAGAGGTTGGCGGAACATGCTTGGTCTGTCGTTTTAACCATAACTGCTGTTCTTACTCTTCAGTAATCTGCTCATTAAAATATGATTTCTCTAAGTGAAACCTTATTTATTGATTCCTATTATATAGATCCCCAAATTTCAGCCACAGATTTCAAATACTGCACCCGCATTTGGGGAACGCAGCTGTCCAGTAAGCTGTGTTCTCTGACGCAGTCCTGGGATTTCACAGGACGTGCCGTTCCGGCTTCTATTCCTTGTTCTTGCTTGCTGCCCCTGATACAGCCGATGGCCCTAAAAGTGCGATCTGATGTTCACGTTACACTGGCTGCTCTACTAAACCTTCAAAACAACTTCCCAAAGTCGCCTCGAGACCAAGTGAGGAGGAGAGCCCTTCTGAAAATAAACACTGCTGATCACTCTGGAGGGACAGATTTAAACCTGCAAGCCCTCCAGGCTCCAGGGCTTTTCAAACTTGGGAAACAACGCTTTAAGTCTGAATGTCTTTGAGCTTGAGCGCAGTGGCGGGGGAACAATGGGGGAAATGAGAGGCCCCAAGTGAAGGCCAGAGCTCTGGAAAAAAACAAAGGGGAGCTTGACCATGGAGCCCCGGCTGGGAGACTTAAAGGGAGAGAGAATGTAAATTTGGGATTTGGGGGTTTTTTTTGAGGCTGAATTACAACTATTATGTGATATAAAACACTAGGAATATGGATGAATCTTCCTTACTTTGAGGGAGACTGTACCGCTGAACCACTATAAAGGATTGCTTTAAAACATTTACACCAAGTCCAAGTGCCTTTCAAAAGATTCCTAGGCTGAGAGAACAATGTGTTTAGGATTAAATAAATGCATTCTGGGACTCCAAGCACTTATAAAGACATCTGACTTTACCAAGCATGTAGAAATTGGTCTGATGGTTAGACATATTTTTGTGTATAATGTAAATCAAAACTCTCCCTGACTTTAAGCAAAATTTCCAAGAGCTTGTATCTCTGGGAACACACGCTATCGCCGTGTTTATATTAAAGTTGAGCTCTGTGGTGTCCCTTATGTCTGCTTTAATATTCTTGTTAATATTACTTTATAATATTGACATTTTAGGTTTCAATATCCGAGGTCTTCGTGCAAAGGATGTCTGGCGGATTTATTATCGTTTCCCTCTCCTATAGCGAGGCAGGGGCTGAAATATGCATCCTCAGTTTCCCTGGAGGACACGAGACAGTGAACGCTTGCATGATGCTCCCAGTAACAAATCCAGCCTCTCGTGGGTGAGTGCTGCTCGTGTCACTGATGCCCTAAATTAGGGGGGCATTTTCAGGCCATTATTTCTTGCATCTCTATAGGTCTAATTTTCAAACTTGATTGAAATTGAATTCACAAACAACAAAATGCACCTGTTTTTAGTGTGCAGTTCGGTTCTTCTTCACTAATTCAAGCACCAAATAGCCACCACCGTGCTCAAGATTTCTATCACCCCCAAAAGCCCCCGCGCCCCTTTGCAGTCAGTCACCCCAGGCCACTACCCTGGGCAACCCCGACGTGGCTTCAGTCGTGTAGACTCGCTTTTGCCTGTTCTAGAACTCCAGGCAGCTGGAACCGCACACCACGTGTTTTTTTGCTTCTTTTGCTTACTTTACGGTGATGTTTTGAGATCTATCCATTTTGCTGCGTGCACCCGCGGTCTGCTCCTTGTAACTGCTGAGAAGCCTTCCGTGTTTAAACACACCGCAGTTTAACTGCTCACCTGTTGAGGGTTTGGGGCTGTTTCTAGTCTGAGGCCATGCTCAGTGAAGCTGCCGTGAGAGCCTCTATGCAACGTGAAGCTTGGACGTGTGTTTTTACTTATCTTTGGTAAACTCCTAGGAGTGGCACTGCTGGGTGACCTGCCAAGTGTCTGTCTCACTTTACAGCAAAGCGCCAAGCTGCTCTCCACGGCACTTGCAGCATCTTACAGCCCCAGGGCCGACGTACAGGAGCTCCAGCTGCCCCACACCCTCACCGCCACTTGATGATGTCCGCCTTCTCGATTTCTGTCATCCTAGTAGCTGTCTGGTGGTTTTTCATCACAGTTTAATTTTCGTTTCTGAAAAATATGTTGACCATATTTTCATGTGCTCATTCCATTCATCTTCTTTTGTAAATTGTTGAAATGTCTTGTATTTCAAGGTGGGTTTTGAGAGTGATGGCGTAAGAATTCGTTCGTTATACAGCGCAGATGTGAATTCTTTGTCAGACCTTTGTATGCGTCTGTGTTCGCTCAGTCTGTGGCCTGTCTTTGCAGTCACTCTTAATGGTGTTTTTAATTTTGATGAAGCCAGTTATGAGCTGCATTTCATCCCCTCCAACCAAACAAAAAAGAAAAAAATAGGTACCTTGAAGTCCTAACCAAAGTGCGCCAGAATGTGACCTTATGTGGAAATGGGGTCTCTAAGGAGGCGATCAGGATAATGTGAGGCCATTATTGTGAGCCCTAACCCCGTATGTTTGATGCCCTTATAACAAGGGGAACTTTGACACAGACACGCACACAGGAAGAAGGACATGTGACAACAAAGGCGGGGGTCCGGTGATCACCTGTAAGTGGGAAAATACCAAAGGCCAGACGACCACCGGAAGCTAGGGGAGAGGCGTGGAGCAGACACCCCTCATAGGCCTCAGAAGGCGCCCGTCCTTCTGCCTTGATCGTGGGCTTCCAGCCTCCAGAACTACGCGGAAATATGTCTCTGTTGTTTAAGCCAGGAAATGTGTAGCACTTTGTTATAGCAACCACACAGAAACGATGCAAACCCAGACTTGCCCTTTTCTCCTTTACACTCAGAGCCTCTAGCGACCTGGCTGCCTTCGTCCCCTCAGCATCACTGAGGCTTACCCGTAGGTTCTCCTCCAGGTCTGCACGGTTCCTACCTCACACACAGGCACAGTCCACACGTCGTCTTCTTCCCTGGCTTCATGTTTAGATTTTCTAATGCCCGAGAAAGCGCCTGCCTCTTGAATCATTTCTGGAATCAGTCACAGTTTCTAATCGGGCTGTAAACATGCCTTGTGACCTCTGCCCATTCCTTCAAGTTCAACGTGGAGCGAGCTCTACTTCCAACAGGGTGAGGCCCGCTCCCTCACTATCAGGCTCCCTCCCTATCAGGTTGGAGGTGATCAGAGCTACTGTTTTAAACCAACCACCGAGTGCCCAGCACAGGCATGCCCAGGTGCGCCCAGCACTTTCATCATCCTCCTTCCACTTGGGGTTGGAGTCCTGAAAGCATGGAGGAGGAGGCCCTTTGTCCCCTGGATGCACAGTAACACCAGCATTTCTAGCTTCCTCGCTCTCTCCTTCAGGACGGGACAAACCATCCACCCACCCCAAGCATCATCTCCACCTTGAGACATCAGTATCTTTGCTGGACGTTATTCTTACGGCACCTCTGCCCTTCACAGTTGGGAAAACGAAAGCCATCTATGGTCATGAAAAGGACTGCGAATAATTTGATAAAATGTCTCTATAAATCCTTCTTCTGGAAAAGAGCGCCTAGTGACTGACGCACGCGCTCTGCTTGCTTTTACAGACTACGTTACAAGCTCTGCACTGCTTTCTGATTCCTGAAGTGTTGCTGTGCACTAGAAGCGAGTCTTCAATATACTAACTCTGAAACCCTCCTACAGGTGGGTGCCTTACCCTTGACTGACAGGTGTCTCCACGTCACGGTTGGCTCTGGTCTGCCGATAGCCAGACACAGCAGGGTCACGCTGCTCCCCTCATTCACGGTGACGTCTGAGGAGATGTTCATGATCTGGGGAGGAACTGGAAGGAAACAGAGGAGAAAACAAATACATGAGAATGATTCTTTGCACACAAAAGGAAGTGTTAGCTATTTACAACAGCCAAGACAAGGAAGCTGTCCATCAACAGACGACTGGATAAAGAAGCCGTGGTGTACTTATGCAATGGGATAGTACTCCGCCATAAGAAAGCATGAAGTAATGTCATTTGCAGCAACGTGGATGAAACTGGAGATCGTTATTCTAAGTGAAGTGAGTCAGACGAAGACAGACGAATATCACGTGGTATCACCTATATGTGGAATCTTAAAAAAATGACGTAAATGAGCTTATTTATGAAACAGAAACAGACTCCCAAACATAGAACACAAACTTACAGTTACCAAAGGGGAAAGTGGGGGAGGGGTAAATTAGGAGTTTGGGATTAGCAGACACAAAATACTGTGTACAGAATAGAGAAACCACACGGTCCTACTGCAGAGCCCAGGGGATGATACTCAATAGCTTGTAACAACCTATAGTGGAAAAGAACATGAAAAAGAAGACACGTATAAATATGTAAGACTGAATCACTGTGCTGTACTCTGGAAAGTAACACGACACCGTGAGTCAACGACACTTCAACAAAGAGGAGGTGCCAGCCTGTACATCTTCATAGAGCATAGTTTTTAGATGAATGTTGCTCCCAATAATAATTTCAGATTGCCTGATTTGCCAAGGGTGTGCCCATCAGCACAGCACGTACAGGGCGCTCAGGGAGGGAGCGGCTCTGTGAGCGTCTGGCTGAGGCAGGAGGCAGGCGTGTGTGTGCGGCGGGGGCAGCGGGATAACTGAAGCAGGCGTCACTGACTGCGGCCTGAGAGGGAGCACCGACGTTGGGAATGCAGTTTGCTGACAGTTCCGCTCTGCTCTCGCGCTCACTCCTTCCGGTGGACCCTGGCTTGTGTAGGAACCATCGTAGCCCCCAGCTCAGCCTCTGCTTCCAGAAAGTCACTCGCAAAGCCAACCGCCCCGACTTGGCCACCATGTCCTGGGCAAGCCAGACTTTCTAATGCTTTGACTCCACACAGGTTGTTCCAGCCGGGAATTTTTTTGGTTTTTTCACATTTCTTTTCCTGAAAATTCTCAATCCTTCCTTAAAATACATCCTCTAAAACTTGGTGAAATTTTCACCGATTTGTCAATGGGGATCAGCTGCTTTCTCCCCTAGACCCCACCAGCCATTGCAGTTACCCTGAGATTGTGCTGTAGAATTTCTTTTCAATGGCATCATATCTTAGTGGTTAGGAGCAGAGCTCTGGAGCTCTGCTCCCATCCCGCTGAGGGATCTGGGGCCACCTCTTCAAGCTCTGGCTTCTGCACCTGCGAAATA